TCTGTAGACCAGTGGAACATCTGTAGAACATCTGTGGAACATCTGAACATCTGTAGAACATCTGTAGACCAGTGGAACATCTGTAGAACATCTGTGGAACATCTGAACACCTGTAGAACATCTGTAGAACATCTGTAGACCAGTGGAACATCTGTAGAACATCTGTGGAACATCTGAACATCTGTAGAACATCTGAACACCTGTAGAACATCTGTAGAACATCTGTAGACCTGCAGAACATCCGCAGAGCTGTAGAACATCTGCACACCTGTAGAATGTTGGAACGTGACATGTTGACCTTTGACCCACAGGTCAGCCCAGAAGCTGCAGATACATCCGTACCTGTGTGGAGAGGGTCCAGGAGCGAAGGAGGACATTGAAGAAGTCAGAACCACCTTTCTTCTCTCTCTGGACTGAATCTGCTCTCATAGTTCTGATGGTTCTGACCTGGTTTGTTTCTCCTTTCTGTGGGCCCGACAGGTGAGGAGGTCCCAGGCACAACTTCTGGAAGGACAAATATTCAGGAAGACGTTAGAGAACTGTTTCATCATCTTCACAGCAGACACCTGGAGGAGGTTTACCTCCAAACATCTAAAATATAAAAACTAGAATCTAAAGAAAAACTATTTTCATTTTGTTCTTTCTGAATTTTAGCTGCTAAGAGTTAATAAAAAACAGGTTAGGAGCAATAAAACCTCATCAAATCTAATAAAACAACATAAGAGATCTTAAGAGCTGCAGCAGGACGAAGCAGATTTATAAAAATAAACACGCAGAACGTCAAAGTTTTTCTAACAAATTATTTCTCCTGAAAAGATGTGAATTTATTAATTTAAGGTRTTAAATTATAAAATCTGGAGACCCTTTTTTCATTGCACAGGAAAACTGAAGCATTTTTTTTATTATGTTTGCTAATACATCTCTTTTAACAAAATATCTTATAAATCACTGGATTGATTATAGGTAAGATTTAATGAATGTATTAAATCATTGTTAATGGATGCCCATTTTTTTACATAAATGACTCTGTCTTAATGGAAGCCAGTTTCTGTTAAATATACAAAATTATTAAAACCAGTTTCTTTTAAATGTATAAAATCATGTAAACAAGTTTCTGTAACATGTATAAAACCATTAAAACCAGTTTGTGTAACATGTATAAAACCATTAAAACCAGTAACATGTATAAAACCATTAAAACCAGTTTGTGTAACATGTATAAAACCATTAAAACCAGTTTGTGTAACATGTATAAAACCATTAAAACCAGTAACATGTATAAAACCATTAAAACCAGTTTCAGTGACATGTATAAAACCATTAAAACCAGTTTGTATGACATGTATAAAACCATTAAAACCAGTAACATGTATAAAACCATTAAAACCAGTAACATGTAGAAAGTCATGTAAACCAGTTTGTGTAACATGTATAAAGTCATGTAAACCAGTTTCAGTAACCTGTATAAAACCATTAAAACCAGTTCAGTGACATGTATAAAACCATTAAAACCAGTAACATGTATAAAACCATTAAAACCAGTAACATGTATAAAACCATTAAAACCAGTTTGTGTAACATGTATAAAGTCATGTAAACCAGTTTCAGTGACATGTATAAAACCATTAAAACCAGTTTCAGTGACATGTATAAAACCATTAAAACCAGTAACATGTATAAAACCATTAAAACCAGTTTGTGTAACATGTATAAAGTCATGTAAACCAGTTTGTGTAACCTGTATAAAACCATTAAAACCAGTAACCTGTATAAAACCATTAAAACCAGTGACATGTATAAAACCATTAAAACCAGTAACCTGTATAAAACCATTAAAACCAGTTTCAGTAACATGTATAAAACCATTAAAACCAGTAACATGTATAAAACCATTAAAAC